GGCTAATTACATCATATACTTTTTGTTCCATATCGATATATGCACCAAACGTACCTCTGCCTGTTCAGACAGTTGCACTAAATCAAAACATAGCCACAACTTTAGTGCAGTGCAAAAGCAACATAGAAATACAGATCTGAAATGGTGTGGCATGTCTTGTGTGACAGTACCGAATAGAAAGGAACAATCCCTATCACGTTAGGGCTGCTCAGAATTCAGCAGGTCATCCTTGCTGGAGTCAAGCATTAGAATCATAGAATAGAATAGAATCATAGAATGCTTAGGGTTGGAAGGGACCTCTAGAGATCATCTAATCCAACCCCCCTGCATACGCAGGGACACCTAGAGCACGTGGCACAGGACTGCGTCCAAGCGGGTTTTGAAGATCTCCAGAGAAGGAGACTCCACAACCTCTCTGGGCAGAAGGTCAAGCTCTTGAAAGCTTGGTGGCCATAATTTATCATGGTTTGGATCATCATTCTGCAGAGTAACAAGCACACTGATCTTTCAGAAAAGTTTTTTTTTTTTTTTTTCACAAGTGGTTTCAGGAGGATCAGAGCTCTACACCAAACAAAAGTTGGTTGTAGATTTGCGTCATGTGCCTGATTGCAAGTACTGGATAAAAGATGTCTCACTGCTATTTTAGATTTCCGGTGTTTAATGATGTATGTAGTCATTAGCACTTCTCCAGTCGAAGCAGTTAGTTTGGGACCCTCCACACAAGGCCTTCCTCCTTTTCACCCTCTGTTTTGTGCTCAAGTTCCTGCAGTGTTCAGAGTGGCACACATGCAGGATTACTGCTTAAGCCTTGTCTCTACTACGAAACCAGACAAAAAAAAAGTGCACTGGGGTTTTTGTATGCTGCAGAAATATCAGTGACTGAGAGAAGGTATAATTTCAAAGTCAAGTTGCCTTCAAATGTTTTTTAAAAAAAATTGCACAAGCAGGCACAGTCTGTTTGTTGGGGGTGTCTGTGCAACAAGTCAGAGCTTTCTGTCTCACTGCTTTCTGTTTATTCAACACTTGATACTTGTTTTCTATCATCTCCATAAAGGGTATTGTGGCTTCCTGTTAGTGCATAATGGCTTGATCCCTATTTGATGTTGGATAAAAACAGGAGTCAGTATTTTAGATCAGAGTGTTCCAGAGTGTGATTTTTTTAATAGAACAAATGATGATTGTGTTAAGTATTAAGTAGTCCTTCACAAACACTTCTATCATGGTATGTATGTGATGCCCATTTCTCTGGGTCAGGCTACTTAATGTGGAACAGGTTAATGCAGGAGGGACATGTCGAAAGCCTTGCAGGAAAGCAATGGGAAAAGCTAAGAGAAGGCGGCAAACCCAATAAGCTTGCATCAAGGCATGACCAGCTCCCTATACATACTCTTTGGAAGATAAAAACGTATCTAAAAATGAGAAACACGAGAAGCTGAATTCTGTGCCTGTCAAAGATGATATGTACAAAACTGCAAGTTTATCTGTTAGCATGCAAAGTATCCCACTATTCACTGTCAGGTGGATTATGGCATCAGGAGTCATAATGCTTAATGAAAGGAAGGCAGAATTACTTTTTCTCAGTTAAGCTTTAGAGGTATTTTTAAAGAAGGAAGCAAACAATTAAAATGATGCAATGGAGGAAGCTCTGAACAATTTTGTATTTAAGCAGCTAGATTTTCCTTTTTATTTGAAAATAAGTTTACTGTTTAAAAATGGTATGTACTAAAGCAGCCACATTATACATATAGATAAAACATAAGATTTTAAAGCAAAAAAAACTTTATGGAACTTTGCTTTTTAAAGCAAAACTTTACAGAATGAACACTAGTGTTTGTTGTACTGTATAGGGTTTACAATCCAAAAGAGTTAAAAAAACCCTCAAGGATTAATGTGCTCTCAAGCTAAATTAGGCACAAAGTTTAGCCTGTAACTAGTTCTACAAGCATCTCACTATGATTTCATTGATACAAAGTATTACAAGTGATCAATAACATATGCTATATTTTTAAATTCTTAAAATTTTATTAGTACTATGTGCTGAAATAGTACAAATGTACACAACACTCCACCTTTGTTAGAAAAGCATGGGGACTATAAAGTAGAATCATAGGGCGAAACAAGAAATTATTTCTCTGTTTTGGGCTCTGAATTAATAGGAAATAAATCTATGACTTTGCTTCATGGACATAGTTGAAGTTTAGTAAGTCTTACAAACATAGGGGAGAAAGATATTTTTAATGAACATCAGCTACAATAGCAATATCTTAAATGAAAAATATTAGCATGGAAACCAGCCGATAAGTGCTCCAAAGCAAAATAACCCTCTCAGTTTTCTTAATGGGATGCAGAATATGGAGTGAAATTTTATCAGGTGAGAGCTTTTCTCTCTCTCTCACACACACACATAAAAACAAAAAGAAAAAAAAAAAGAAAAAAAGGAAATACAAGTGATTTGCTGCAAGGTTTTGGCTTAGGTAAGGTTTTTCTTAAGAAGATTTGTGAATTTACAAGAAATAAGAGCAAGTCTGCATAGACTGTAATAAAATGTTCTCTCTCTGAAAACCTAGGGATCTTCGAAATATACATACTAGAAAAATGTTTGATTAAAATACTGTTTTTTATTGTTTTCTGTTAACAAAATGTATTGCTGAAAGCTGTCCTTTTTTGCTTGTTTGAAACAAAATCCATTATGATTGCCACTGAACTACAAGGAATTGCACACTTCCTAAGAGTACATTTCTTTTTTTTCTGCTTAATTCAGGAATTGCCTAAAGGTAAAATAAACATTGAAGTCTTAATACTGTTTTTGACCAGCAGGAACAGAAAAGGGAATGCACTGAAGCAAGATGATAACAAAATGTATCATGCAGTATTTTGGCTTAACCTCTACAGTGTTTCAAACCAATGATGTAAGTGGAGGCTGGGAGGTTTAATCCATTACATTCACAGGATGTCATTTAGAATCAAAACCATAAGTGAAGGCAAACTGCGTGGAAACTCGAAAAATACTGGGATGCCTAACAAAAGCGTGCCAGATGTGTTACTGTTTCTAGCATGCAGAACTACTGCTTGCAGGCCTTATAGCAGTATGAGCTACTGCAACTTCTAGCTCTTTACATTACTGCTTTGCTTATGCTGGCTGGGGTCAGCAAGTACTGTATGGCATTAGGAAGTTAACCCACGATCTCTGCAGGTTCAGTGACCAACTTAGATCCGTCCCATGCTGTCTTGAACTGTTCAGGAACCGGAAATTCTTTCTGGTAAGAAACAAAAGCAACAGTGCCAGTTAGATACACACTGGCTACTTTATGAAAACGAGCGCAATACTGTTAGTGATACATGACTGACAAGCATTGAGAGCTCAGACATGCCAGGATTACAGAGAGGCCTTCCTCATTACCCTAGGCAGCTAGTTTACAATGCCACACAGGAAAGAGCTGTATTGCTGTCCGGTTTCAAATTGCCTTGGTATGGTGCTACTTCATAATAATCCCTCTCACTGTTGTTTGGAACAACTAAATAAATATACTTCATGCTAGAAGTCACTTCAGACGCCACCAGTGATTGGGTTGGAAGACACAGGAAATGATTTGAACATGGAGTCCTAGTGAGACCAACCATTTTAGTGAGGAAAGCAATATTCTAGTACAGAAGGAAAAAAATAAAACCACTATCATTTAAAGTATAATATACTTAAAAAGATACAGTATCCCTTGCAGAATACACAAAACGAAACAGAACATTGCAGAAAGTCTCCCTCCATGCAGTGTATTTGTTAAAACTATGGGAGGTGTTGCTGAGTCCTTGCTGTGGTTCCAGAAAACAAAAAAATAAACTAAAAGTGTGGAAAGACTTTTCTTTCAGATCTAAAGAGGGTGTCTTGATAACCAATAATTTCAGATGTGATGGGTGATTTGGGGATGGTTTATGAAAGGGGCCTGTTTTTTCAGAAGCAGCTGAATATGCACTCCCTAAAGGTCACTCCCTTTTTAGCTATCCAAGCTGAGTAACCCGTAGTCACTTTTGGAAGTGTGGAGCATGCAAATTCTCTTTTTTAAAGTATTTTCTTTTATAATACCCAAACCCCTTCACGATAAAAAATTCCATTCCAAGAGAGTTATGAAAAATATAAGGTCTCTCTGAGGCCTTTATGGAATTTCAATACTGCTTAGTTTACTCAGTGTACTGCTTAGTACAACTGAAAGTATGCTCCACCTCTGTGATACTTGTCCTGCTGTGTGCAGGGACAGAGGCAGGACTCTACTTGAGATGCTGATAAGCCTAGCATGCAAACTGTATTTGTCCAGAAAAGGAACCTTTGCTTCAGGATATGCATATCTCTCTTGTTCCAGTGACTTTGAGGGACCTTATTTGAAAAAACATATGAAGTACTGCAGATGCTATGCGTGTATCAAAAAAAAAGAGTATATAATAATATAAGTTTTAGAAAAAAAACAAGTATATAATGCCATATCATTTGATCTGTAGTACTTTATCTTAGCTTTAGCATCATCATTTTAAGGCAAGAGTGTTCTTACATTGTATGTGAAGTGAGTTTTTTTGGGAGATTATGTTTAGATACCAATTTTTAAAAGAATATTAACTGAATGGACAGGAGATGAACATGAAGTAAATTCTAATTTTTGAATTTACTTTGTGCCCCAGGAAAAAGTTCTTCCTGTACTCATAGCTGAACTATTGGTATATAGAAATTCAATCTTTTTGAATCATGCTTTGGTGATGTAGTATGTGCACTATGTTAGTCCTTACTTTCCTAGCAGTTTATATGCTAACAGCTACTACAACTAATGGGGCAGGGTAAGGAAATCTTAAGAAATAGCCCACTCACATAATCGCCCTCTTGAGGGATGAGGATGTTCATTTCAGATGACTTGGCACTCACAATCTCACAATCCAAGGATTCCTCACTGAGGTAGATGTGGCAGCCTTCAGTTTTGTTAATGGAAATGGTTGGCACTTTTCCCATAACCTGCAAAGTATAGTTAATATCAATCTTAACATGTAAACAAAAATACTGTTAATAAAATCCTTCTTCCCTAATAGGTCTAATTTTGGTCACCAGCATCTGATCATTATGTCAACTGCCTGTGCAATGCTTATGTTTGAGATAGATGCTGTGAAAGTTCATAGTGGTGGTAACAAAGATATATCAACAACAGCAAACTTGTAGTTGTGAACGTATAAACTTTTAATACAGACTTTGGCAAAAGTTCTTCCCCCATTCACTCTAATTTCAGTGATACTTTCTTGCTGTTTTTTAAGCAGCAAGAAATTGGACACCTCAGTATCAACCCAGTAAGGGCAAAGCAATAATTCCTGCGTACAGCACTACCGAACGAGTGTTTTGTAATACGTTCTGAAGACTTCAGAGTTCTTTCAGAAACACAGTAGGAAAGAATTTTTAATGACCTAGAGGCAAGGACTGCTCTGCAAAAGTATTGAGACCAATTTAGTTGCAACTCTAAAGATATTTTGTATGTCACTTTAAAAGCAAGCATGTGATTTACTTGAGGAGAGAAAGGGAAATAAATCTTCTCTTGTTTACAAATCTACAGATTAAAAGATTTCTACAGGATTAACTGGCTGACTCATTGTTTGTCAGTAAAAATTCCTCCTTCTCCTCTTGCCTTCATAGCACAAACCAGCAGCAGCAATACACTCTGGACAATGTATTAAAAGGACAGAGGTTATTGGAGCTGTAAAACAGCAAGAGCACATGATACATAAGTACTTACTAACAAAAAGGAGTGTCATGATTCAAGTCAAGTTCTGCTTCAGTTCCTTAAGAGAACAACAGCAGGCAAAGACCAAATAATCTACCCTCTTGCATCCCACCCTGATCTGTGGAATGGATCAATGCATCCTAAACTGATCTCTCTTTTCCTTGATGAGGTCTCATCTAACAGTGGGCAGAGAAGGGTGTGTTTAACACAAACATCTATCAAGAAAAATAAGTAGGGAGAAAGGAAGGACAACTAGTACTGTACTGTACTACTTTTAGCAAAATCAGTAATGTTTGGCCTTTACTGAAATGTGTTGCACTCGCATACCATGTTTTTGCAGTTTACAGGCACAGGTCTTCAAAATACACAGAAAATTGAGGTGCTCAGTACTTGGCTCAGCACTCAGCATAGGTGCTCATGCCCTGTGAAAGCTGCCTGATTGAAGCACTTTATAGCCAGAGTGTCTTTTTAAATGAAACTCACTTAGCTCCATTGCATAGAAACCTTATACAATATTAATTGAACCTGCTTAATCAAAAGAATTTTGATTCTTAGGAAAGCTTTCTCCCTTATTTGAATATTAGCAAGCTGTAGCTTTGCTGTTCATTACGTATGAATTTTTCAGCTTTCATGAATAGTTCTAGTGGTAATGATAAAAACCGTCTAATTATTAAAAAAAAAATCCAATAAATGCCTAGGATTTTTTTCAGCAATTGCTCTGTCATAAGAAGACATGTGGTGATTATGAATAAAGCAGCTTGTTCAGAAGATGATGCACTGCTAATAGTAATGTTATACGCTTGCATGATGTTTATCTTGCTATTATTCTCTGTGGTGACTGTGACCTGTATTACTTAAGCATGGAGCAGGGCTGTCTGTATTTAATATCATTCAGTAGGAACAGACTTTTAAGCTGAAGAACTCACCTTGCTTGAAGTCTGGCATTTTTGTATAATTTAATTCACATTTCATTTATTTTTCGCTTAAAATAATTTATTTCTAAATCCTTACTCGAGATTAGATCTATGTCAGACACAACCCAACATTAGAGCATGCATAACTAGAGCTCTTTGGGATAGAATGAGTGAAGGCAGTGGCCAGGCAGAATCTGACTGTATTTTGAACCAGGCAAGTGTCTCCTTGAAAAAGAGCCAAATACAGCGTAGGAGTAGGTCTGTTTTCATTGCACCACTTCCACAAAGGAAAATGATCACTTTGCTCCCTAGTACAAGATGTACAAAGACAAAACTAGCACAGGCTCGTGGCCCTTTTCCAGACAAATGATTAGGCCATTTATTCATGCAACATGGCATATTGCTGACAGGGGAGATTTTCAAAATTCCAGCACCTACTTTCACTTCATGTCATTTAGTTGTCATTTGACAGTCTAGTTCAGCATTTCCAGTGAGAAATTAAGACAAGAAGAAACAGCCATCATTAGGAATCAATTAACTCTTTGCTAGGATTTGTTCCGTGAAGCACTGCTCAACTTTCAAGTGTGAGGAGCTGTTTACCAACAAAGCAAGCAAATTTGGAGCAGAAGACATAGTTCTCTTTATGTAAGATCTGTCTGCTTCACTGGAACGTAAAGGAGGTTTGAGCGATGCTCAATATTTTTAATAGCCACTTTCTGTATGCTTTAGCATACTTTAGTGTATTTAGATGTATATGGATGCATCAGCCTTCTAACTGTAGTGTGCTCATGGAACTTTTTAATAGCCTGTTGTAGGTTCATATTGGGCTCTTTTTTTCTGCCTTTATTCTTACTGTTTCAGTCTTTGTTTTGCACAGAGATTAATTTACCTGAATCTGAATATCCCTTGAATTGATCACTTCCACGATTCCCACAACGTTGTCAAACACAAGGCCAAACTTTTTACAGTTGTCTAAAATAAAGACAATCATAAATAAGAAAAACAAAATAAAATATATATACATGCATGCCTGCTATATTAACTATTATAATTCCTCATCGTACAGCAAATAGCTAAGCAACTTTATTCATGTGATCAATCCATTAAAGCAAATGGAGCTATTTGGATGCATTACCAAGAACATAAGTTTGTTTTTTTAACAAGGTTAGCATTTAAAGCTGAGTTGAGCTGTCCACTCACCAATAGTTATTGAATTGATTTTTCCTTTGATCTGAAGCGTAGATTTGTTACACTTAAAAATATAGGCCACTTGCTTGAGTTCAGTGTTGGTAATAACCAGGTCATTCTTATCCTCTTGATATTCCTATTTCAAAAGAAAGTCTGTTTAAGGGGTTGTCTCTAACTAGCCAGCAGTCAGTCAAATGGTAGTACAATTTAGCTTCAAGTCACTACATCTTCAATTGCAAGGGAATAAAATTCTTCCTGCGGTTTCACAGTCTAGTCTGATTGGCAATTGGGTGTTCCAGCTAATTCAGTCTTAGGTGACTCATGTACAGATTTCAGAGTTGCATAATCGAGCAACTTAGCATACACCAGGACAAAAAAAAAAGTATTAATTTGGGAGCAAAGGCGTTATGCATAACTATTTAAAACTGTACTGGCAAAACTGTCACTTGTCTCCCATGGAATTTAGAACAGGCACCCTAAAGAACAGAACAAGTTACTCCTCTCGCGAATGTTATATAAGGCTCTATACAGTGCATTAGGAACAGATGTGAGCATCACTATACACAGTAATGCATCACAGGGGAAGAAATTTCTCTGCACCTTTACACCCTACTGATGTAAAGGACAGGGGAAGGACCCACAAGGAATATTCTAGGTATTGTAACTGTAATGGTACATAAAATGGGCAAATTCTGGCCTCACTGTATGCAAACTCTGCTCTCCACAGTAATAATTGTTTATTTCAGCTCCCAGATGAATAAACTACATATTGTTTCCTGCCTCTTTTAACTAAGAGTCACATGACTTATCCCACATGTAGGCATATCCCTCAAGGCATATGCCTACATAAATTAATCCCTAAGCTTCAAGCAAATATTATATTTCCATCCATGAATTGAGAAAAAGGGAACACTTGTCTCCTAAATTTATGCATGCAAGAGATGTTTGTGTGGAATTAGTGGTAAAAAGAAATATGTCTAATTGCATTGGTTACCAAAAAGAGAAAGTGTACAGTGATAATAATGTTATCTCATAACATAACATCGTAACTCATAACAATGGCCTGCGAGAGGGATTTTAATTGGAATTCTCCACTAGATTTGCTTCTGAGGAATTGCGTGACTTTGTCAAGAGTTGCTATGTTGGTTCTGATACTCTCCAGTTCACGTGAATTAGCATATGATTCTCAAAGACAAATGAATTAATTTCAGAACCTCTGGAATGGTAGCTACTAAACTGCAGCAAGGTAAGTACTGCAGAATCAGTGCTCCTTAGTTGCAAGATGCATTTGTTGCATCTTGCTCCTGGACAACCTTTTGCCCATTCAGGGCTTGGGCTGGTTTGCAGCGTGCAGAGTGCAATTCCAGGGAGTTAACGCAACTCACCACTCTCCACTTCTTTCCCTCTAGCTCTAAAACAGGGGCATGGCTCTGCTGAGGCAAACTCTTGGGAGATGTGGGGCTTGGAGTATAGCTTTTTGTGGGAGAGGGAACTGGCGGACATTGGGCACGGAGGCTGGGGTTCTTGTGAGTCTTCTGGTCATCAGAGACATGTCGAAGCCCTGAAAAAAAAATCTTAATGAAAAAGAGCATCTTTTCCAGTCCTAAGGATATTCACATTTAAACAAGAAAGATGATATGTAATACACTTGTAGTAGTGTTATCTAATGAATTTACATTTTTGACTTTATCGAGATTTGCCTCAGTAACCACCTAGAGGGTAACTGCCTTCATATTTTTAGCAGTTCATATAAAACCTGTCATTGCAGATAGACTATCCTTATAGTCTTACTAAGTTATGAAGACTATCCTTTATATCTTTACCAGGAAATGCAGCAATGTCTTTTAGTTGCTCTCTGTTTGTAGGAAGCTTGCTTGCTCTTTCATATTGCTCCATGGAAACTACTTTTCCACTAATATCATAGCTCCACCTATAAAAATGAGGCACTGTGTCTAATTTATGACAGCCCACAGCAATAAAGGAAGATACGGTATGCATTAAGTTCATTGCCATCTACCTTAATTTCAACTGCCTGGTCTTATCTCAATAAGCCTAATTATTGCACTCCACACTGATATGTGAGTGTGCCACTTAATAGCACATTTTGACACAGATTCGGACACTGAGTGTGAATCAGAAAGGGGAAAATTCTGATTGCAATTACAACTTAAGAGATTCATCTGCCACCAGGGGTTGAAGATGTCTAGCTTAGATGCCTTAAAATTAAATAAAGGCTATTAAACAAATAGTTTTGATATTTGGAGGATGTTGTTCCTAAAGCAAGTTTTAGTATTCAGGCTCATCCGTCAGACTTAGTGCACACCACAGAAAGAACCGAGTTGCCTAAACGTAAAACTGTTGTTGGAATTTGGATCAGTACACTTAGCAGCTGCTCTTGTAGCTGGACTGAAGGACCACACTTTGATTTCTTTTCTCCTTACCTTTGGTAATTGCCTCTCCCTGGTTTAGTTGCGCAAATAGGGCTGAGCGAGCTGCCGTCCCCTCCTCCTTCCTGCCTTCTGTGTCGAGGACGGGAGGAGGCCCCGGCGGGGGCGGCGGCGGGGAAAGGCCTGGCCCGCTGCTTAAAACAGATCTCATAGACATGGACGAGGCAATAGGACCCTGTGTGAAACGGATGGCAATTACATTTTTGTATATACATTTTCAAGAAACATTTTATTATGGTAGTTCATATTTATTGTCTGTGAATGCTGAGTTAAGCCTCTGGGCAGTGACAGGCTCAGAAGAACTGCTGGCTCCATAATCAAAGTTACACTATGAACTTTCTTCCATATCAAAAACGGCAAGGTGAAAACCTAAGGATCTACACCATGACCACCCTGCAGAACTACTCCACTTAAAAGATTTATATCCATCAGATGCCTGTCAAGACTTTAACAGTAAAGATTCCATAATTTATTCTAGTACTGGTGATTCAGGTGGTTCATTTCTGAAATACATTTTTGTTGAGCTTCTAGTTCACTTTCTGAAGTTATGCAGTCTTGTGCCACGTGCTCTAGGTGATCCTGCGTGTGCCGGGGGGCTGGACTAGATGACCTCTAGAGGTCCCTTCCAACCTTAAGCATTCTATGATTTTATGATTCTATGTTTTTCTTCTCCACTGCAGGAGATCATAGGGCATGAATTATGAGAGTGTTGCTGCAGTAAGTAATCCAGTCTATCAGTTTGCATAATCAAAAGTACATGTTTTGCTCTGAATTATGATGCTTATGTAGCGTATTATAGAGCAAACAAAAAACATTAATTAAGATCTGATTAAGATTTCATGCATCCCATAAATAGAAAAGATAGAAAGAATCTGAGAAACTGAGAATCACTTTTTCTGCCTTGCCACAGAGTGTCACTCTGACTCCAAGCATTGCTCATCTGGACAGCACTTTCCTGCAGCAGAGCAGAGTCTATATTTTAGAAGAATTATTGTGAAAAAATAGAATGGTTCTGATGAATTTAGCTAGCTGTGAATTGCACTAATACATATTTACTACGGAAACACAGCTTTTCTAACTGGCTACCTTTGCTAAAAGATGCAGGTGGTTAAAAATGCATCCCTAGTAATCAATATTGGGATTAGGGGATATTTTCTGCCCTTTATGATACCACTCTTTCTGCTTTCCACTGAGATGAAACACCAAAGTATCCATATGGTTCATACATCTCACAAGAGTGAAAATGGCAGGTATTTTCTAAAGAGTAGTAGTAAAATAGTTCTGGCCTCGGATCCCAGACTGACAGTGGGAAAGGGCCTGAGGTGTATGTGCTCTCTTCTTACTTTTCAGACATGCTTAAGAAAAGGGCACATTTGAGTAAGTAACTGCATTCATACCTCTTTGTCAGTTTGCCCCTAATTAAAGTAGCACAGAAAGAGTAGTAATAAAATTAGCTGATGTATATCCTTCTCACCTGAGCTGCCAGCATATAGGTGCTGTTGCATTTGAGCGAGCTGCTTATGGAATACTTTAGTGATGAACACACTGCAAGATTCTTTGCCACATCAGTGACATTAAGACTATGCTGCACAAACCAAACTCTGGTAGAATCACCAGTACTCAAATGAAACTTATGTAATGGAACAGTGTGTAAGATCTCTTAAGACAATGAGCTCTCTTCTGTGCTATTAGATCTCTTTGATCACATGTAAACAAATGCGAACAACTGATTATCACGTATTGCCACAATATACCAGAGTTAGATCCTGATGTGGATGGCTCGTAGAGACATTTCACTGCTGCATGGATGCAGCTAATGTGGAGCTGTTCTGCTAACACACTTAATCGTTAGTTGTATTATTTTAGTGTGAGGACAACTTCTCCACAGGGCTCCCAGTTTATGCTGTTTGCCTTCCTGGTTCTGCTATTGCCAGTAATGTTACCTGCAGCAGAGCCGGCACAACTGTGAGGTAGTATAGTCAAAAGAGTTAATGTAAGTGAATTTAGTGGCACAATCAGCTCTTGCTGCCTGAGGCACAATAGACATCTTTCCTATCTGTTGCTTGAAACCATAGCAACTGAATCCACTATGTCCTGGTTGCTCAGAATTATGAGCACTGCATTTGCAGCTTTTTTTTTTTCACAAAATACTCAGATGCCCTAAAATTTTGCTCACTGTTCACATTGCAGAATTTCGTGTGCTTTATGGGAGGAGATGATGTAGCCGGTCATAATTTGTGATTTCGGATAAAAAAAGGGCATCTGATTTCTCAGATGCCAGAATCACAGAATGATTTAGGGTGGAAGGGACCTTTGGAGATCATCTAGCCCAGCCTCCCACACAAGTAGGGTCACCTGGAGCACACTGTACAGGAAACAGACCTTATTGATTCCATCTGCATAAATACGCTGCTGTGATACTCTAGAGACTTGTATGTGAAAGATTTACTGTTCGAGGAGTAATTGTCACCTAGAAGCAGAAGCAGTGGATAATATTTTGGAATTAACACCAATTAAATTCTGCGAAGGCTGCAAAGATGCCTTATAGCAAATAGATGCAGGAGTTAACTGGATATCCTATGTATGGTATGGGATGATGGGCCACTCTGCCAGTCTTCTGCTTGAACTGTCAAAATAGGAGGCCATCTTGCTGCTGAGGCATAGAAATATGGGAATGTGTATGCAAGCAAGGTGGAGGCAAAACTGAGAGAGATTTAATGGGGAAGTGGATGATCTTCCTCACAGGACTGAAAAAAACTACCTTGGGAAAGCACAGACGAAATGCAGGGATTTTAAATATGGAGCCTTTGGATATGGTTCTGTATGACTGGAGAATGTCTTTTTTGCTTTTAAGAAAGTGAAGAGGAGGGAGAGGATTTGGGCAACTGGAAGCATCTTTACCTTCTAGAGCAGTACTTACTGGTGAGTAGCTAAGTCTGAACAGAAACTTCAGACTTTGATCTGAGGACAGAAGATGCTCTAATTTTTGTTAGTTCACAACAATAGGAAACAAAAAGTATCCCTTTCGCTCCTGTTGCCCATCTGCCTCCTTTTTTCTTACAAGTTCAGTCCAAAATTCACTAAAGTCAATGGCTATCTATCTCCACTGAGTTCAGAAGACTTCGAGTTAGGCCTGAAAGCTACAGAGGAGCTGTCAAAAGCTCTCAGGAGATACCCGGGGTTCAGTCAGCCTCCTTTCTCTCTCAATTCCATGGGATCATTCACAGAAATAAGAAATGGCATGAACCTTTGTTGGAAACTTTTCTGCTATGTAAAAAATTATTTTCTAGGCTCTAACCTGAATTATAGCTATACAATTTAACAGACCATCATGGCATTTCCAATTACATCTGAACATTTATGGCTAATGTCTGAAAATCTGTTCCCTTCTGGAAAACACAAACCATTTCAGACATAAATAAGGCCAGACAGAATCTGAGCACCAATCAAAGGAGAAAGGGTTGCTGAAGTAGAGGCCAGGACCAACTGCTCTGCTGTAGGGCTACCATCTTGCAGCATAGAGAGAGCCAGGAGGGATACCCAAACAGCCTAGTCTAAAAAGCAGTTTTAATAACAGACTAGAGAAGTGGTCCTAACAACTTTTTTGATTAGTTTTGACCCCTACTGATATACAGACTAGCATGTTATGAACCTACCTCTAAGAACAAAATTGGTTTGCTTTTTTTTGTCACCTTTCACAGAGCGCTGAGACCCTCAGGGTCTAGAATATTTCTGTCCTAGACTCTTAAATTTCTCTGCTATCTGGCAACAATGGGGTATAGTCCTATCCAATTTCAACTAAAGTGCCATTCACAAAGTCCATTCATTTCTTTTCTGTACAGGGTGGTATTCAGAGAGCTCTTGGGAATAGAAAAAAATGGCACGTTTTGTGCCCACAAAAGTTCATCTTTCGTAAAGCAGCAGCTGCTTACCAGCTCTGCTATTTGCAAACAACTCTTTAGATTAACTTTGAGCAGATGTTAACAACAGTGTATCTTTGCACAAAGAGTATTAAGAAGCATTTGGACTAGCAAAGGCAGATATTTGCAAGCCCCCTTTCTTCCTCTTTTATTTCAGCTGTTTGCCTTGGTGACAGCTGCTCTTCTCAGTGCTTTGGTGTCTGCAGACACCAGGACAAGTTAGGCTGATGGATGATTTTCCTCATTCACGTGTTGGAGTGGTCATTTTCCGTCATTTTCAAATGAACCCTTGTAAGAAATATCAAGTGAATGGATAGCTTTAGCCCTGCTTACTGAAAATGTAACACAGAAACAAGCCATTCTCTTTAAGCCTGTTAGCTTTGTGCAGTACTGAATTTACTGTGTTTTAGGGCTCGATCCTAAGGCTTTCTGAAAAGCGGGGGGAAAGGTAATTGCCTGAGTGAGGTCCTATGAAGAATATGGGATGCAGGCCCTACTTCCATGTGGTAATAGCTCTCTAAGGGATGGAACATTCCAGAGATTTCCTATCGGGGAAAAAAAAATGTCTTCAGCCTTCTACTAAGACTCTAAATGGGTGACAGAAATCATCATGAAGGCTCCTTGTTGGACAGCCCAGAGCCATCTGCACAGGTACTCCAGGACTCCCATTGACTGTGGCTCAGCAGCTGCCCCGAGTGACAGTGTCCAAGGCTGCTCACGAGATTGTATTTTAAAATGGGGCTAATTGCAGGACTACAATACCACCTCAAATATGTTGTATTTCTACATTTATCTCCTAAAACCAGCAGAAGGGTGAGGTAGTCGTCGTCTTCTCCTTTCTGGCCACCTAGCTGGCTCAGTGAGAGAAACAGATGACTGGTGGTGTTGAGGCAGCTGGCTGATTAAAATTCATCTGTGACGATTATCACTTAAATCTGTCGAATTTGCAGTAGTGAGGAGTGAAGTGTTAGCTTCTGGCAAGATGGGCCTTGCTTACAGCACACTTGTGTGGAGTACGCTGAGCCCCTGGAGCTCAGTGCAGCAGCCGGCCTCGTTTGCCAAACAAAATGCTATTGATGCCCAACACAAGTGCACTGGATGCCACCCTGTCAGTAATTGCTGATGGCCATATGCAGCTTGAGGTGTTACTTATGGATTCTTTACGTCCAAACCTAGCTACTGAGAGACAGAATTTGGTTTTATGTCTCATCACAGGTTCTATTTCCTGAGCTGGCAGTTTTCTGGGGTAATCTTCCATAATACATTATTATATTTGTAGTATCAGCACCAAGGAGTCCTAATGAGGGGCCCTGACCCCAAGGGGCAGAAATCATACCTCTGTCACTGCTTCCTCGTGGCAGCTGGGCAGAGTTGAAGTAGAACTACCCAGTTTAATGCACTAGTGCATTGCTGTCTGGGGGTAGGAAGGGCAGTGAGGACTCTGCTGAGACCTGAACAACCTCCCACCCTGTTATCCAGTTTTGGCTGACACAGCAAAGCACAGAAGCTGGGGTGGGGCAGTTTGTAGAGTGGAAACCTGCTACATAGAATTTAAACGGAGACCTAACTCTTGTAGCTGTTGTTCTTACTGAGGACAGGTAGATCACAAACATCTATAGAATGCACATAAATAAGTTAAATACGTGTATAATATACAGTACTCATTAGTAATTCATATTTAAATATAAACATTTATTTGTGGCTGGGGCAACAGGTGGCTTGAATGGAGGCATAAAATCCTTTCCTTAATTTATTGAAAAGCCTGGTTTTCCAGACAGCAGATAAAGAGGAATCCTAATGGGGATTTTACATTCTCCTCATAAAAAAGATGTTCTCTCCCCTCTGTTCTCCCCGCCTCCGTTGTAATCCTAGTTTCACACCTCAAATGATTACTGCACTCTATCTTGTTCTTTCCATACATATGCACACCCAAACACAAGAATGGTGAAGCTCCAAATATCATGTATCAGCCTCTGCGAACAGGTGGACCGTGACTCAGGGGCACAGGGCTCTTGTTGAGGTGTTTCCTCTGTAAAAGTAGCTTAGCACAACAGTCCTATTACCTACCATATTTTAAGCCACCTGTTTGCAATGGGCTATGCTGCCCTGAGATACACGATTTACTAGATGAAACAGCTGACATACCTGGCCTCTAATCTTTGTGAGTTAAAGTCCAAAACAACAAAAAACAGCTCACTCTCCTCTTCTTCTTACTACTGCTTCCCAGCACAATTAATTATCTGTTGAGTCTGCACACTCTGAAGTGCCTTTTCATACACTTCTGCCTTTTATCACCTGCTCAGGATTTGAAATGGTGCTCACATCTCACAGTTACCCGGTCAGAAATGTTTTACACAGCCAAGGACTTCTAAATTGTTTGGCAACTGTACGCTAATACAGGCTAAGCTGTCAATAAATAACTTGCTCCAACAGGTACATTAAACCATGTTCTACTTATATACAATGCCAGTTAAAAAGAAGACAAATACCTTTTGCAATTTATTAATTAATAGATGCACTTTTCTCCTTTCTTTCCATTTTATGTGTTTTCAAATTTCTGTTTCTTTTCCCCTTTCCTCTTTCTGTTGGAACTAGCTTGCATTATGTTACAGGTCGTGTTGTATTTGACAGCTACCATCAAACGAACCTCTCCAGGTTCTCCCATAGTGTGTTTGAATGATGTTTGGGCACTGATGCTGAAAGGACATTGCTGACCTCCAGCAAAGACAAAGTATTTTTGGAATGAGGGGGTAAAATTACTTTCTTTCAAAGGGAGTTGGATGTAATTGAGGCACTCTCCACCAGAGGCAACTAATTGCAGGATTTTATAGGACAGTTTCCAAATAGAATGATGCTTTAAGAAAGTTTTTTTTTTCAAATCTTTCTGATGCCAGTTTTAGGTTTGACACTGTACCCAAAGCTGAACATTGCCTATTCTCTGGGAAGGAAACAGTGAAGATTAAAGGATGCAGGATGCAATGAAAATGTATATGGAAAGGCGAACGGGGAAATGGGAAAGAAGGAAGGGAAAGGGATGGTTTTGACACAGAGAACTGGAAAGTTCTGAAAAAGGTCTACATCTTAACCAAAATACACGTATTTAAATCAACATATGTTGCCCTTACTTCCATCTGAAAGAGGCCACTGGGGTTGCACAGCTGTAGCTTTGCATGGAATTTGACTGTACGGTTTTAACCTCTAGCTTCAGTGCAGTGCCGCAGATGATGGCTTCTTGACAAATGGGTCATACTAGACATAGCAGAGAACAGTATTGGTAAGGATGACAGGAGGCTTTTGTTTGCACAAGCTGGTCTTTTGCAACTTGTTCACTTGGAGAGTTATGATTTTAGTTATATAATCTTTTTCTTAAATGATACATCAGGAAAAAAAAAGACCAGAAGATAAAATGTTGGCATCAATGGGAGCAGGATATAAATGAATCTCAACTACTTGTAAAGATGAAAACTTCCTCCTACAAATATGTTTTGAATTGTAAATACGGGGAAAGCATGATTTGTAACTTGTGGGAAATTCAGTATTAAACCAAACACTGTAGTGAAATTCAACCCTGTTGTATGAATATTCTTCAGATCCTGCTGGCAAAATTACTGTACTACTACTCTACTACTTTGTGTACTACTGTACACAAAGGAAAAAAAAACAAACTTGCTGCAGTTCCACCTGCAACTGAGAGGAGTGGTTAGGACAATAATCCTCAAGCAGGCTTTGTTTTTAACGCTTACTTGATGTGCAGGAAACTACAGCAAGCTCTCCTTATTGCCAGTTATTTTACTGCTGCAAAATCTCCTGTGGAAATAGAAGCAGAAGTCTCCCTTCCCCCAGCTTCCTTGTGCAATCCTTGTGGCAAGCAAACTTTTATGAGGCATTCTTGGGAGCTTATAGTACAGCTGTCCAGTTCTTTGCACCACCAAAAAGGAAAGAAAAAAAATAAAAAAGGATGGAAAAAAAGAGCCATGCTTCAATAGAGAGCCTTTTAGGCCAAATAAATAAATAAAAAGACACTGGCTCTTTATCAATGATAACTGAAAAAGACATAGGTTACTAACACAGATGCAAATATGAACTGCAGCATGGGTAAAGTGCTATATTGAGCATTTAAAACATTTCTTGATAATGACAGATTTTGCCCAAAGGTCACTGATGTCCAAAAATGTAAAAACCAGTAGCAAATTAAAAGGTGGAGATCTCCATCAGGCTGGTAATTGCTATCATTCCCATTAAGATAGAGTGAGTAGAGCAATAACAAACTCCAAAATTACACCTTTAAGGAAATGCCAGTAGATCCCTCTGACTGCCACCAACAGGCACATGGTTTCTGACACATGCACTTTCTTGTTAAGGCTAGTGAAAATCAAGACTTTGGATCATGATAAAAGTCCCCAGTGGCAGGATGTTGTTCTCTGGGACAACCCTGCTCCCAAAGATGCACACTTTAAAAATGCAGATTCCTTCTGTAAACAAAATATCAAGAAATATCCTAACTGTATCCATGATGCCCTGAAAGACCTGTTTTGTACCCTCATTTCCCATTAGTAGTATAGACAGACAGTCAGGTGTTGAGGTGCCTGACACCACTGATTTCCAGGTTTTCTCCTCACACAGCCCCACACATTTCAATAGGATGAGCTCCTGGAGTTAAATACTGTGACACAGCTCGGCAGAATGAGAACGAAAGCAAGTAAGAGAGAACTATGGCAGTTTTTATCCCTGAGTTTTTATAATGCTGGTAGAAATACCTATTATTTTCAGAGCCAATTGCATTGCCAATTCTTTCCACCTTTTGCAGACGTTTTAGTGTCCCTGTCTTGTAATTTATTAAGACATTTCTTCCCCTCTTCTCCAAGCGAGTGTGTGCACCGCTGCCGGGGCTGAGCATGTGACAAAAAGTGTGCTCATGATCTGCTCAGAGGTTGGCTGCAGCTGCCCGCGCAGCACGATGGCAGGGTATGCGGGGGCTGGAAATCAGGCTGCTTTGTGATCCTGCCGTGGAGCACGGCCAGAAATGCACACTCTGATACACAGCAGCAATAGAGAAAGGGGCCAACTGCCCATTTGAAAACCTGTCCCTTCCTCTTTGTAAATCCAAGCTTAGTCTGAGCTGGGCTGATGTTACTGTTGTTTTGTTGTAGGTCGAACTATGAGAATAGGGTTTGGAACCAAGCAGCAGTTAATGTTCTCCCTGACTCAGTCTCTTTAGAAATGACAGAATATGTTACGTAGTAGCTTTCTATATAAAGCATTGCTTTGTTGACTTTTGCAGATAGGAAGGGTATATTATTGGTATTATGTTCTTATAAATGTGTACTCATACTGGCCAAAGGCTTTTTATGTCTCCGCCTCAATAAAACAGCATTTCAGTATCAACTTTTGCCTTTCATAAATGTGCCTCTTTCTCAATGCCTTGCCAAACTACTGCTTTTTCCTTTTATGCATACAAGTGAAAGCCGCTGTGTGCAATGATTAACAACCGTGTCTGGAATATTTCTAAAGCTTTTATATATATTGTATTCCTGTCTAGGCCCTGATTCTGCAGACCTTTATGCTTAGCTTCACACAACATGAATCTGTGACTATTTCATTCTAAATTTAAAATGTAGAATCAAAATCAAATTATCGCTTTAGTAACTCATTGCTTTCTTGAATATATTTGCTATCAAGCTTCATAAAACTATTTAAACAACACTTGAACAACAAGCTATTTAAACAACGGACTAGTTTTCTGGATTCTGATTTCATTATACATACATAAAGTAAAGCCTAAAAAAATTATACATCTTTAAAAATGTGTTTGTATTTTAATCTTTGAGCCACATACTACGTAAATGATAATTCGAATGATCCATACTTCCAATACGGCCTCTTTCGGATCTGAGTGATATCCAAAGTTAGTGTTATCGATACATCGGAGGCAGTAATGGCAGTAATCACTCATGAGCGTGGTTTGGAGGAAGTCCTTAATATGAACAAACAGTCACAGCTAGATTTGTATTGCGCAACTGAAGAAGGGGAAATGTAGAGACATAATGGCTCAGATGCTGTTTTTTAGACTAAGTATTATCTGCAATAGCTAGACTTCTGGATAAGACTGTCAGCACTTAGAACAGAGAATGACTCCTATTTGATAAAATGGCAGTAATAAAACCTTGTCTTATAACACTATTTCTGTATGTGTAAAGTTCTGTTAAAGGTGAAGATGATTCTCTGTATTAACAGAAATAAATTTGGCCCAGATTCTCAGGCTTATTCTGCTGACAGAGTACTACTACTTTTTCCCCTTAGCTCGTAATCATTTCAGAATCATTAGTCCTTATTACACTCACTGATTAAAGCAGAACAGGATGTAGCAAGTGTGTAATTTTGTACTGAACAAGAGAACCTCATTTAATATTTTAAATTCTACAGAAACCTACAAAGCAGCAGCTAATTTCAGACATCTGATTTATTGGGTTTAAACGTTTTTACGTTACTTCAAACTAAAAAGTGCCTGCAAATCATCAATTCTCCATGCTTCATCCTGCCCTTGAATAATTAAATACTCTTGGTCTGCACAATCTCTAGAGAAGGGTGTGAAGTTGAATGGCAAAATTTGTTGTTGAACACAATAAAGTTTAGTATTCGGCATATCATGAAAAAAAATTGAACTCAGAATCTGTCTTAGTCAGAAATTACACACACATTCTTCTAAGGAGCATTGTCAATAGTTACCATTGCCTGATATGTAACATTCACAGGGATGATCTAGCTCGTATTCTATTTGATGGGAAGTTTACCCTTTCTCGTGCAGCTAGATAAAATTAAAGAATATATGCAGAACGAAGTCCGGATGGGACTGCTGAGGGAGTAAGGAGCACAGAACTACTAGATGACATTCGTTCACACGGTTATCACCTCTGCAAAAGAGGAGATGAAGTAACTTCTTTAGATATGATGTTAAGATATTCTGCCATAAAGCTGTATTTCAGTAAGCTGTTACACTGGCTTGGTTTGGGTATTTATCTGGTGGCTTATATCAGTCTACTTAACAGTCATTTAATATTTTGAAATTTATTTGTCTAAACAGAAAAAAAGATATTATGAATGACTGTATGTGCAAGTATGCTTGTGAACTGATAAGTTTAGGAAATGATAACACCAAAGTGTTGGCTGATTATATTTTTGATGTGCTTCAGTAACTCTAATCTGAGCTGGAACATTGCATTAATGTAGACAGTGGACATGAGCTCTTACATTTATACCCAAGAGAAGGTTAATTCTTTGTATTTACACCTCTAGAGAAAGGTATTGAATGCTGTCATCTTGACATGCATCCCAGATGTAACACACAGAAAATATTTACATAAATCAATAGAGTATAAATACGTCTGCGCACAAGTATAATCTTCCTCTATATACACATATATAAATATGAAGTATTAATTTCAGAAACTATTAATATATATAAAAATCAACAGTTTTATGAAGATTATATAAAGTAGTAACTTGGAATATATCCCTTTTGTTTCTTTTTCTTGTTATTAGGTCACTTCCTGTGTTTAGATTCTTTCCACCATTCTCCTTTTCCCCTCGTGCTCACTCAGTTTTCCTTTAGACTGACATTTCCTTTTATTTTTGGTTTTGTTCTTAGCTTCTACCATAGCAAGCTCAGAAACCTGAATTTACCTTTTCTTCTCCTGTGCTGCTGGGGGTTATGGCTACGGCCCTTCCAAGTAATTCCTCTATCTTCCTCAAAACCCGTGCTGCAATGGCCTAATGTATCTTCTCCATCTGCTTTTCAAACTTGATTGCTTGGTTGAAAAGCCCATGGACCAGGACTTATGTTCCTGGCCTAGATACTTATTTTTCCTGACCTATGATCTCCATTAAAAGCTAAATTGGTTGCTATTATTTTAAG